ACGGGAGCAGATGGAAAAGACGAACCAGTAAAAGCTGCCATTCTGCTACACACGATTGGGGAAGAGGCTCTTGAGATTTATAATACCCTTGATGTTGAAGCTGATGATGGTGAAGATGGGCCAACTTTACAAGGTATTTTGGATGCATTCAAGATGTAATTAATGCCGGAAAAAAATATCGTCTTTGAACGACATCAGTTCTGGTCTCACCCGCTACCGGAGGGGCTCGGAGTGGACAAGTTTGTGACAGAACTATGGCAAAAGTCCAAAAACCGCGAGTTTGTGGTGAGTGAAAACGATATGATCTGAGGGAGGTTTCGCTTTAAAACACTGCCTTTCGGCATCAAATCTGCCATTGAGGTTTTTCAACAGAAGAACTGTGAGGCGTTTGGAAATATAGAAGGGGTGCACATCATAGCAGACGACATGACAGTAGCCGCAGCATCGGTTGAAGAGCATGATGTCATCCTGAAAAGGGTGATGGAGACAGCCAGGAAAGCAAACCTAAAATTCTACATGGAGAAAATACAGTACAAAGTTAATACTGTAAGATACATGGAACACGTGGTCACTGCTGAAGGTGTGAAGCCGGATGAGACAAAAGTATTGGCTAACAAAGACATGCCACCACCAGCAGACAAAAGTGGACTCCAGAGACTGTTAGGAATGAAAAGATACCTGTCCCAGAACATCCCAAATGAAGCCACTATAACAGCGCCACTCAGACAGCTACTGGGGAAAGATGCAGTGTGGGACTGGAACCAGGAACACAATAAAACGCTGGAAAAACTCAAGACTTCGCTGATGCAAGCGCCAGTGCTCAAGTTTTATGATTTAAAAAAAATAAAATAAACGCTGACTATTCAATGTGACACATCTAAAGATGGACAGGGTGCTAGTCTCCTGCAAGAGGGCAGGCCACTATCCTACGCGTCACATGCACTCACTGAGTCTGAAAAAAATGAAAAGGAGCTTCTTGCAATTGTTTTTGCAACTAAACGTATGGCAACACAGTGAATGTCCAATCTGACCACAAACTGCTGGAGGTCATCTTTAAGAAGAACCTGAAACACCAGCACGACTTCAGCACACATTGCTACAGCTTCAGCGCTACGATCTCAGGATAACATACACAGCAGGCAAAGAGACGCATGTCGCTGACACCCTGTCTCGTGCTGTTGCCGGGAACTGCCAAGAGAAAGCAGTAGAGGACCATTTTGATGAGAGAGTTGTTCACATGATGGAAGCTACAGCAACAATTGATGCAGAGACTATCGCCATGCTAAAAGAGGCAACTGCCAGCGATAAAGTGCTGCAGGATCTGACAGAGATGCATTATAAAGGGTGGCCTGAAAGAAGCAGCAGCGTGGCCACTAATCGTCACCAGTATTGGTCGAGAGACATCATCAGCATCAGAGACGGAATAATCATGGCTGGTGATAAGATTATTATTCCTGCAAAAGCCAAACAAATGATGCTTGGCAGATTACATATTGCACACCAAGGAATACAGAGGATGAAAGCTCAAGCTTGGAAAATGATGTACTGGCCAGGAATGACCTATGACATTGCAAACATGGTAGAAAAGTGTGCTCCATGTCAACAGCTTCAGCCACAAAACGCCAAAGAACCACTCATTCCACATGAGATACCCGAGTTACCTTGGATCAAAGTGGGAGCTGATATGTTTGAGCTAAAAGGACAATCCTATCGGGTGATAGTAGACTATCTGTCGAAATACCTTGAAGTGCTGCATTTAGCTGACAAGACAGCCTGTACAGTCATACAGAAAATGAATGCAATTTTCGCAGGCATGGGATCCCCAAAGAACTGGTGAGTGACCACGTTCCTTTTGTTAGCTCTGAAATGAGAATGTTTGCAGCATCCTGGGGCATAAAACTAATCCATTCAAGTCCTGGATATCTGCAATCAAATGGGCTAGCAGAGAGGATGGTGAAAACCATTAAATACACACTGAAACAAGAATTACAATCAGGGACAGCTCCACATTTAGCCCTGTTGTCACTCAGAAATACGCCAGTAACTAGTAATACGTTTTCACCTGCCCAAGTTCTTATGGGTAGAGTGTTGAGAACGTTGCCGAGCTCTACTGCTGTACTGCAACCTGCGATCCCAGAAGTATTTCACCTGAGGTTGAAACATCTCCAGGCCAGACAGGAACATCATTACAATCAACACTCAAAACATCTACCTGAGTTTGTTCCTGGCACCACGGTTCACATGACGACACACAAGATGGATGCCATGAACTGTCATGTATACCATGGCTGATTTTAAAGGAAAAATTCCAGCTGATCTATAGGATTTTCTTCTGAACAAAAACCTAGGTGAGTGTGGGACAACTTCACTATCCCAGTGTCCACTGCCTCTGTTGAGCGCTCATTTTTAGCATTAAAGCGTGTTAAAACTTACGCCATGCGACCAGACAGACACGGCTTTTAGCCTCCATGTCCAGATCTACTCATGGACCCAAGGCCGGATTAACCATAAAGGGCCCAGGGCAGCAAGGGCACGAGCAAATTACTGTATCTGTGATCTCTCGCTTTATATTAAACTAGTGTGACCGTACGTCCTTTTTTCCACGGACATGTCAGCTTTTCACTCTGTCCGGGATGTCCGGGTTCTTGTATTGATGAAAATGTCCGGCTTTTCATCCAGGAGCAGGGATGGGGAAGCTGTATATCCTACACATTCAGGGGAGCCAGAAAAAAGTTTTCTACCTATATTACTATATTATCATTCATGGACTCTTTTCAGCAGAGAGCGGCAGAGCGATGATCGGTGCGCAGCACTCCAGGCTGCTGCGTCCAGCGCACGGTCCATTCTCAAAGTGGCGCAACCAAAAAACTATAATTAACACACGATCGTTCATGTCTGCACATGTTCTCTACTTTCTGTCTTATTTGTGCCTGAAGCGCGCTACTGCGGAGCTCATCACCTGTGCTGCGGTGATTTCATCTCACTGATGCGTCGAAACGCGCTCTCCGCTTTGCGGTCAGGAGATCCCTTTGATCTGCTCAAAAGTAACCGATGAGGTGAAAAAGTAAGAATCCAGGCAGCAGTTTTTCTGGATAGTTTAGAGGCGATGCAGGAAGAAGAGAGACAGACAGGACAGGAAAATATAGTTAAATAAAAACAAGAAAACAAAAAAGTGTTGAAAAGTAAAATGTACATAGATTTATCTCCACTACACGTTTTTACCTGCAAAACAAAAAGTTATACACATGTAATATTTATACATCTGATACAATTCAGATCACCTTTAAAACTCAGTCACACACCCAGGGCCGTTTCAAGACATTTTGGAGGCCAAGGCAAAACGACCCCCCCCCCCCCCACCACCACCACCACCACCACCCCACCCCCATAGCTGGGCTCCCCAGAAGCCTCTGTGTAATTCATACCCTCTCCAGGAGAATTAGTTATACAGTGTTTGTAAAAGTCCCTCAGATATTACTGACATGTTCTAATATTATCAGATGAAAAACTAAATTATCAGACATGCTGTCTCATCTGCTTCTTTTCTAAACTTGCAAGAAGTAACAAAACCATTTGAAAGCCACTATTTGTGGATTCTCTGAAAGTTTCCAGTGTGACAACTTATTTTTTCATTGATCCTATCATCTAATCTCACAGCTGAAACAAGCACCCTTAATAATCTGTGCACAGGAAGCGTATCGATGCTGTAGTAAAACAAAAGTTATAATTTATTATTAATGAAACCTTGTTGCAGCACTAAAGCAGAAAAATGAGATTTTGCAGTAAATATGCTAAGTACTTATTGTTTTAGAGCCCTTTTATTGGCAGAATCTGATATTAATTTACTTCTTACAAAAAAATGGGTCCCAGCGTTGTGTGGCGTTGCCATAGTGTGATGTCATAGGCACAGATCCCCTGTCCTCTTTTTTGGAAATGGAAATATGATCACCCTGTATTAAACAAACTGTCCACCCGGGCTTTTGCGCTGCACAGAGACTGTTCGCTGCCTATGACTTTGAACGTCAGTTGAGACTCAGTCTCTTGTAGACTGACCAATGAAGAGAGGGCCTCAAGTTAAGACTCTCTCCTCATTGGTCAGTCCACACAAGATGGGTCAAAGGTTACCCTGAGCGGGTTAAGTGAAGTCAGGCATTCAAGTATTGAGTATATTTACTGCATATTACAGTAAAATATTCTGTGTGTGACCATATTATGGTGATCCTTGGGTCGTGATGAGGGGGCCCTTTAATATTGTTGCCCAGGGTACAACGAAGTCTTAATTTGGCCCTGCATGGACCGGAAGTGCACAGAAACTGACAGCATGGAGGTTTTCCTGAGGAAAGAAGGATGGATTTTATTTTCAAATGAGAGGAGGAGATCCCTGTTGGAGATTTATGCTGGTGAGTACAAACATTTTTAGTATTTTTAATGTTTTGTCATTTTATTTAGTTAATAATCAATAAATATCTAAATAAAATGGCAAAATGAAATAAAAATTTATTCAGTTTCTATGCAATTTATATTGTGTATAATGTGGTGCGCGCAGCTGCGCTAACATGTTCAATTGTTTCGCGGTGCAATTTTCTCCAAAACAAATGCAAATGTGTTTGCTTTACTTACTTTATTGACTCATCTCTTAAACCCGTCTTACATTTTTGAGATTTGACAGTATCCATGGTCTTAGTTTCCTACTTTCAATTGCGAATGCCAGTTTGACTTTAAAGGCTCCGGAAATAGTGTCTTGACCAACTACTGGTGTGGTGTGTGTGTGTGATTCTGTAAGGATTCTCAAGCTGTGATGTCATATTGATGGTATTTTAAAGTGTATTAATTTAGATTGGACTGAATAGGAAATCACTGAAGGCCCAGGGGTGGAACGCACGTCACTGCAAACCACCATGGTCAGTTTAAGGACCTTAAAATGAACTGACACAAGTAAATGATGATAATGTCATTTAAACTGAATCTAGACAGAGATAAATCAGCACAGTCACAGATAATAAGCTGCATCTGATCTACATTTTTATTAGAATTAAACATTTCAGAGTCTGAGTTTTCTACACTTCTTTTGAACTTAAAAGTCACAGTTTTGATAATATCCTCTTATCCTCAGGGGCTGAGAGGAGCCTCTCGGTGTCCATTATCACCGCTTAGTGTCTCAAAAAGGCACTCATAAATCTCACACATGAAGGTCGCTCTACCATTCAGCAGATGCTTTCTGCAGCAGCGGAGGAAACCCCAAAACACTTTAATTACAACGTCCCACAAGGATTCAACAATTGTGTGCTACAGTCAGTATTCAATGGCTCCCAAAGTGACATTCAAGGTAAAATGTCAAATGTTTAAATTCTCATCACAAAAGGTTGGTTTTTATTCTCATTTTTGCATTTCCTAAAAAAAAAAACATCTGAACTTTGTATCCTTAAATCCAACAACCTCTAGTGAACTCTCATTGTGACAATAAAATATTTTATTAAAGGCAGGCATTTGAAAGTCTACTGAGGCTAATTTTCTAAGTATTTTTAAATAATTTCTCCAAAACCAACAAAAAACGGAGAAATTTTTAAGTAGCTTTAATCTGATCTTTGTTTCACTTTTAACAGTTAATATTTATAATTAGCATGCTGGTCAAGATTGACCAAAAATGCAAACATGTAGGGTGTTGGTGGACTTTAAAAGGCAGTGTATGACACATTCTTTATCCAAGGGAGACCAGTTAGAATGTACAAATCTACTTAAGAGTTCCCAAAAATACTCACCTTGCATTACAAAATTAAAATTACTGGCTGGTAATTCATGGTAGTTCATGAGAGATGACCAGAGTTCTGACCGTAGTGACGACAGAAGCAGCAGCAGCGCATCATGGGAGAAAACAGCAGGTACTGTGCATCAGATTTAAAGTTGTAACCTGCAGTGCAGTTTGCAACGACAGTTGATGCAAAAACTATGTGTTTGAGCATAAAAGGACTGATGTAAAGTCAGCTGGAGAAGAGGAGCCTGAATAAATCCAGAGATAAAAAGCACGCTGAGGGTTTTCCATGAAGCAGAGGAGCACAAGAGCCAGGGTAAATAACAGTTTTTCACAGCAAGTTAACCAAGACTAGCCACTTGGTCCCAGCTGCAGCTTCTCCTGCTTATGTTTATCCAACCACTGTAAGATCTGTTGTTTGAGTTCCTCGTTTGGCCTGATCTGGTCCATAGTTAGAGGACTCCTGTTGAAGGGGTCGGTCTGGTCACTGTGAGGAGCACACACATAATCAATAATCAATCAATCACTAATTTTATTAAAGACAAAAAAAGGTCCATAACAGATTGTAAAAATAAATAAATAAATAGGTAAAATACATGCAAGCTATTTAGGCTCACATAAAGGTTAAAACGCCAATAGTTCCAACATGTCAGGGACAATACATGAACTAATCAAGTGTTGAATTAAAGATTAGAGAAAATATTTAGATAATGTTAGAGCTCAGGAGGAACACACCTGAGAAGATGTCTTGCTATAGTTGAGCGGTCAACTGTAACATTAGAGGAAGGGAGAAGGACGGGATCTAACATCAAAGTGGACATGATGGGGTCCAAAAACTCATCTGGAGCATCTGCATAGGTTTCTTCTTCCTGTTGCTGTCTGTCCGCATGAGACTAAAGAAAAAGGCACAATGATTAAAAAAAAATGCTGAATTCCTAGATTACTGCATTAATTTATAATGGTTTACTCAGATGCTAATCTCCAACAAACCACAAGTCAAATTATACCTTTATTTTATCTGCAATGAGACCAAAAGTCACTATCATGTCACCAGGCTTGTTGATCTTCTTCAGCACCCGAAGTGTCTGGGAGAAGAGGGTAGGGGAGTAAGATCGTCCATCTTTTGGGACTGTGGCACAGAAATTCTCCTCATCACTGCAAAAGACAAGAGCTGGATGTAAAGTTCAAATAAAAAGAAACAAAGCAAATGGTTTCTCACTCAAGATTCAGTTTTATCATGAAAGTCTGCCATCTTGTGAAATAAAATAAATAATTCTAACCTACCCCAAGTTGAGGTAGATTGTGCAGATGTCAGAAACGAGCTGCTGTGGCTTAAAGTCAAACTCGCTGAAGTCCTTGACTTTAAGAGCCCCCATCTTAGGACCGACCAGGTGCTGCAAGAAGTAGTTCAGCATAGAGATGATCCTCTCAGCTAGGAACGGGTGCACAAATATACCCTTGATCTCTGAGAGAGAGAGAGACACAGAGAGACAGACAGACAGAGACAGAGAGAGAGAGAGAGAGAGAGACAGAGACAGAGAGAGACACAGAGAGAGAGAGAGAGAGAGAGAGAGAGAGAGAGAGAGAGAGAGACAGAGAGAGACAGAGAGAGACAGAGAGAGAGAGAGAGAGAGAGAGAGAGAGAGAGAGAGAAATATTTAAACACAAGTACTATAAGTGAAAAGTTAGTGCATGTACATCTTTAATAACGTTTGAGTCAACATGTTTAAATAAATAAACGGTTTTATAAAAGTATTATTAGTTTAAACAATTTTTTCTCCACAGAAAAAATAAAAATATATCGATAAATCCTGTTTGTTCATAAATGCCTAAATGAAGTATCTAGGGCTGCAAAAGCTGCTTGAATAAACATAAAAAATACATAAACAAACAACAAAACAATTGTATCTGTAACAGCCTATTGAGCCTGACCTGAGGTGAGGAAGGCTAGTGTCCCGATGGTCTCGTTGGACATGATGTTGTGGAAGCGTCCCAGCTGTCCAAACATCTGCAGGCTCGACTCCTTTTCTCTTCGAGCATCAGGGGCTAGGCCTTCCCACTCACCTCGATCCCGCTCCAGCTGCAGGATCTTGATTTTACTCAAGTACTACACACAAAAGTAAATGTATGAGATGTGGCTCAACACAAAAACCCATGACCAAATCTAAATTTCATCACTGACGACATCATTTTGGGAGGACTTCAAAGCACTGAAAAATGACCAAATAAGTTCAGATCATCGACATATATGCAAGGAAACTCACCTGAATCGCTTCATCCAGCAGAAAGATGGCATCGTTCATCAGTAAGTTGAGGAACTTGAGGAACAGAGGGGGGTTCATGGCCTCCAGGTTTTCAGATGCATAGTTGGCCAAACGCTGAATGAAAAAATATCAAACAGAATAAAAAACAAGTTTGAACTTAACAGAATGCTTTTAGTTGGTAATTACAACTTTTGAATGAGAATGATCTAATCAGTTCAACTGGAGCACAACAAGGAACTCTCCAAACTCCAAACATTTCAGCTTCCTGTTAAAACCACAACTGTCATACCACTGCATGCAGGTGAGAAGACCGCGAGTTCAGATAAACAGTGAAAAACTTTACCTTGATGCTCTCCCTGTAAATGTCCTTGCTCCACATGTACTTGAGAATTGGATACATGGGTCTCCTGTAGTTGAATTTCTGTTCAAATTGATGAGGATCACCTGGAGAACAGACAGATAAGAGGTGAGTAAACTGTTAGCATCTGCTTGTTTACATTGTTCAGCTGTTCTTTATAAAGAGTTCCCTTTTAGTCCACTCACTCGGTACAACACTTATGGTATGAGACGTCACACCTCCGCATGGCCTGACTCAAGACATCTTTAACCACGCCCTTAGGCACATGATGCGTGGTGAAAAGCGGCGGGCCCTGGCTGCATGTACTGTAAACACGCTTACCATCACAGTCATTATTCAGCTCTTACACTCTTCACCTCACTGAGAACACCCAATTTTCTAACTATGTGCAACCAAGCTAGAAGAGCTTTCACTTTACAAAATCAGCTTCAAGGTGCATGAAGTAGGAATGACATCCTGTGGTCAAATCCGAGTACTGCAGCCCAAGCTTCAAAACAAGCAGGTTCGTTGGTTTCGTGGCTGTTGCCAGTTACGGATCAGCGCCAGAAGAGATGAGTTATACACGGTAAGTTGAGTAGATAAATACATTTCACTGTAATACTGAGTTGTTGATAATTGAAAAAGTAGCTTGAGACATTTTCAGAGCAACTATTTGCTTTTATTTCACCGTTAGCGTCGTTAGTGCAACATTTTACCCCATAGAGTAAAACAAAAAGGATGACTGTTCAGAAGACACTGCCACCAAGAAAAGCTGCTCAGACCAAACTCAGGGTGTGTGACCAGCTGTGTTTTACCAATCCAGCTAGAGGTAAGGCTCTGTCCAGAAAGAGGTTCTCTCATTGGATTGTGGAAGCTATCTCACTCGCTTACAACAGCAGGGGTCTCCCTTTACCTCAAGGTGCATGATAGAACATTCAACCGGGGGTATGGTTGCTTCCTGGGTCCTTTGGGCGGGCCTAATATCCAATACTACATTTCTTATATCTTGTTCCGCTAAAACGGTAACTTTATTTAATTACCGTAAATCCTCTAATACAGGCCCGGGTCTGTATTTGACTCAAGCTCATCAAGCTCCAGGCCTTTATTGGAAGGAGGGCCAGTATTAGACGCAGGCCTCTATTTCTATTTGAGCAAAATGAACGAATGTTTCGCTGGAGTTTTTGACAATTAAAATTGCGCCCACATTTTCAAAGTTAAACACAATTCTTTTAACAATGGTAGTTTCTGCTTCAGCCCTCTCCCCCCTCCCCCTGCGCAGCGGCCGCAAACTCACTGATGCGCCTGCAGCCTCTCGGAGTTCCTGCTGCTCTAAACATTAAAATAATTATTTCATTTTCTGTTCCTCACTTCTGATTACCTTCAATGGTGTCTGTTTGTTGCAACCAGCAGGTACAAAAACTAACTTGTTTTTATTTGACTATTTTTCTGTCCTGCCTGTTTATTATCTTCCTGCATCTCCTCTCAATCCTTAAGAAAAACTGCTACCTGGGTTCATATATATTCACCTCACGAGTTACCTTTGAACTGCAGTTCTAAAAGATATACCAACCGCAAAAACAGTGGAGTGCTCGCTGCTTGCCGGCCGCATCAGTGATCAGTGCGTCGGAGGACAAGGTGATGTGCCCCGCTCCACAGCAGCGAAACACATCAGGCGCAAATAAAAGACAGAAAACATTAAAGGAAATGAACCGACATGAACGATCGCGTGTCAGTGCTGACGCTCTGGCAGAGCGCGTTGCCCCCCCGAGCGCAGGAGCTTGTCACCTGCTGACAGCAGGCTGCTGTCTTTTCCGAGGGCTGCATCTTGCCGGTCATTATCACGTGACAGCGACTAGTCGACGACAGGCATAAAAAGTCACTATAGTGAAGTTGACTAGTTCATACAACCCCTATTGCTCCCCAGTGTTCTGCAGCGCACGTTCTCTTTGAACTTGATATCAAATTTTCGCCTCCTCTTCGTCTCCGCACGGTTAAAGTTACACTCGCGGTCTATCACTGGCAAATCAAAAGTGAGACGATGACACAACCGCTCCCGTACTTGCTTGTTACCACATTCCACCCGGCCACAATAAGAGACCGGCCATTATTCACCTCCGCCGACTCCGACACCGGCCAAAATTGGAGACCCAGCCTTTAATTGAATACCGGCCTGTATTAGAGGATTTACGGTAATTTTTCTTCGTGGTCAAGACTGACATATGAGAAACACACACAGAATTGACATGGCGTTTCTCCGTGTCCCGGTGCTAATAGCAAAATAGTACAAATAAAAATATTTAAGGTAAAAAAGGAGGTAGTAAAAGAGAAGACAAAAACACAACATGGCTTTTAAATTCAGTCGATGTCTACTATGCGAACTTAGTAAGTTTTAAAAAGGTCATTTAAAACTAGCAAGTTGAACGTTCTAAGAACTCGCTTCACCTGTAAATTCAATGTCAACAAACACAGTGATGAGGGCCTCGGCCAGCTGAGGAGCATATCTATAGGAGCAGAAGACCCTTTCCCTCTGGTACACAACAGGCTGAGCGGCACCCAGAGCCTGCGGCTCCATGTGAGGCATCACCGCCTCCAACACCTCCGCAAGCTTTGCTCTTAAATGAGGATTCTTCATCCTATTGAGCAAAAAAACAAGGAACAATCTGAAAAGTGGATTGCTTTTTATATTACCGCAACCAAAGTCATGTCAGAAAAAGTCACGTACCTTTCTACATTGCCCATAAAGACAGTAATGAAATTAAGAATCTGCTCCAGACTTTCAGCGGAAGTCTCCAAAACGTCGTCTGCAAAACGCCGTAGGAAGATGAAAAAGTCTCCCACGTTTTCTGCAAAAAACTCTGATAAACACAAGCCAGCTTTTAGTTGAGCCTATCCTTATGGAGAATGCTCAGCAGCGTTGAATAACTGTACTATGAATAACTAACCTCAATTATATTGTATGCACAGCTGCAGACACAATAAAACCCTTTCTTCAATGGGCGCATTTCAAAAGATCAATTAGCTACGAGACTGAAACCTGAAGCCACATAACCCTGTCCCTACATAAGGTGAAAGGTTTAAGTGGACCGGTCATGTTGGTATTTTTTTATACCGAGTTAAAAACAGCAAACCTAGTCTGTAATGACAATGTACCCCACCTGGAATGAAACACAGCATGGTGTTGTGTAGGGAGGGCAGGGGGAAGCTGAGCGCTACATGTTCAGGACCCTGGTTTTCCATACTGAGCTGAACGAGCAGAGCGGCGGTGGAAGCCTGCAGGTTAAGGCAGCATTGTAGCATGGCGGGCTGTGTGGTGGCAGCTTTGGTTGACAAATAAAAAGTCATCAGACGCTCAAACTGCTCCAGGAGCTGCTCTGACATGGGGTTTCCTGTTCGCTGGGCCTCCTGCCATGCCACCTGGAGCCGGTGGAGAGACTGGTTCATCTTGACCATCTGCTCGTGGAGTCTGCACACACACACATGCACAGGGCTTCCAATATAGTTGTGATCACTTGTTTATGGCGTTTGACTTTATGCACCTGTGGAAGCCAAGATACACGGTGAGTTGTGTGAAGGTGAGGTTTTCAGTCAGCAGGCTGTAGGACTGTGCAGGCTCGACCTGCTGCTGGGGAGGCACAGGAATCAGACAGGTCTCCTTGTCGAGACCTGTCATCAGACAGAAATTAAAACACGCACTCATGTGTTATTATTGCTGCGACATTTGTGCAAACAACTTTATAGAAAATTGTAGAACTAGATGAAATACCCAAGCAGTTCCAATGATTCAACAGTGCATTATACTGACCTCTTGCATGAATGCTGCGATTGCGCCTCTCTTCTTCGCTCATGTCTTTGAGAGCACAGTAGGTGGGATTGAAGGAGAGCAGTTTGAGTGAATGAGGCTTGCAGAATGGCTGGCACAGCTTCAGCAAAGCGGCGCCCAAGTTTAGGAAGAAAGCATCCGAGGCGTACGTCTGGTAAAAAATCTCTGGCATCTGATTGGCCCAGATTTTGGCTCGACCAGAATTAGCCTGCAGACAGCCGCCCAACCATGTGAGCAGCAAGTGGCGGGTCTCACCAGATCGCTGCTGCAGCAGGTTTTTAAAAACCTGGTGTATCTTGTCATGGAACTGCCCCATGAACTGTGAAACAGAGAGAGTAAACCTGTGGCACCTGGAGGCATTTATAGTTTGATAATTTGGCAAAAAATAAAAATAAACTAAAGAAGCTCATGTACTTGGTGAATGTTGCCTTCCTGGACCTTTGTCTCCTGGGCACTTGAGCGAGAAGGGTTCAGGAAGTAGCCATGGCCCTCAACAACACCTGGGGTTTTCAGCAAACAGGAAATATTCAGCACCGTCCCCAGGAGAGTTTTCTGGTACTGCAAACCATTAGCAGGGTCTTTGGGCAGTATGTGTTCAACCAACACCTTAAAAAAATCAAAAGAAAAATGATTTAGAACTAAAATTATCTCTCAGGTTCTGGAACTACTGCCTAGGTTTTGTGTATTATTTCATAAATGATTTCCTGCTGACTAAAGCCGGGCGTACACTGTGCGACTTTTTCACTCGCAGCGTTCAGCTTCAGCTCAAACTGTACGACTTCCTCGCAGAGCAGATCTCACGAGTCATGTGCTCACACTGTACGACCCAGTTCTCGCATGCGACCTGACTGCTCACACTGTACGTCTGGTAGCAACACGTCGGCCCTAAAAATGTGCTAAAAATAGCAGTTTTTACACAACACGTCAGACTTTTTTGTCTTGTCTTGCCTGTTGTCCTTCGGGGGTGCTGCAGGAGGACACACAGGCATTTATGGGGGTTGGATGAGGAAAACGAAATAAAGTAAATCTGTGTTTTGTGATCAGTTTAATTTGACATGAACACGACAAACACACTTTCTTGACAATCTTTGTGAGTAAAAAAAACGTGTAGAAACAAAAACGAACAGCGTGTGTTATTAGGGAAATAGCGAGCGACCGGCGTTGATGCAGGATTGCGCATGCGCCATGAGCGGTTCTGATACTTTTTGGATCGTAGCTGCTCGCAGCGCTGCTTCAACAGTGCGATACCCTCACGAGGGACGAGCGAAATATTAAACACACCAGAAGTCCGTGCGACCTCACGACTGCTGATCGGCAGCTGGTCACGTGGTGTTAATCGCCTCTCGTAACCCCCTGTACACTACACGACCGCTCGGCACAAAACTCGCCCCGATCTTGTGGATTCTCGCACGACTGGAAAATCGGCTCAAAAAAGTGAAAAAGTCGCACAGTGTACGCCCGGCTTAAAACTGCATGTTTCCTCACATCTGTTTGTCTGCTAACCTTGGCAATGTCTTTCTGGTGACTGAAATAGAGGAGAACGTCGAGGTAGAAGTAGAGAAGAGGCTGGCACAGCTCCAAGTCTTTTAAGCGTCCCTGAAGAATATCGAAAACAGGAACCATCACCTCCTCAAAAGTACGTACCTCTTGGTCAGAAATCAGGCCAGCGATGACCTCCTCAACAAATTCAACCACCTCCTCTGGATCTGAAACACAGAGACTTTGTTAGTGGAAAAACCAGAGAGAGAGAGTTATTGTGATTCTCCTCAGGCTTAATGCAGGACCTACGTGCTCCTCGGAAACCTTCCAACAGCAGGTCGAGAAGCTGCTCATAAATGTTCTGGTTGATGTAGATCTCTGGTGTGAGCAGGACTGTTCGTGTGTTTGACACAGACAAGTTCTTACAGCGTACAGCAAATGAGAGTAACTTCTCAGGGACCTTTGTCACCTAAACCAAGAGAGCAGATGTTACATTGTTAGTTTATCATTTACCAATCGTTCTGAAAAATGGGAGGATTCTGATAACCAGTCGTTAAAAGCTACAAGGCAAACCTCCTCCTTGGCTCTCTGGTAAGAAGAAAAAAGGTAAGGGATGGCACATTTCTCTCCAGCATCGCGGTCAGCTGACAGGTTCACTGCGCTGCATGATGTCATGTAAATGAGCTGGTTTCCAGGCTCGAGCAGCAGCAGGCGGTTAAACAGAGCCTGAAGGACAAAAATAGGAAACATCACAGACACAAATCAGAGCAGAACAACCATTTCAAAAAGAGTTTATCATTTCTGTTCAATGATTAAAACTAAAAGTTGATGTTTAACCTGCTCTATGTTGTCCATGTCCAGCCAGTCCTGTCCATCCAGATCTGCAGCCATTTCCTCCAGGTAAACGCAGCGAGGTGGGATCCCATTACCGCCTCTCAGACTGGGATCACCTAAAGGTAAAACATAATCATCTTAACACGAAACTAACAACAAGGCCGAGTTATTCCTAGCTGCGAAATAACCAGAACTAGAATAAATAAGACATGAGAGTCTCAAATGTAGTGTGTGTGTGTTTACACACAGAGGTGAGGATAAATAACCTGGGAACTAACTGGGGGGGGGGCTGCTTTTAGCCAATATTTCCTGAAACATGGTGAGTCATTCTTTAGCAGTCTGACTGAAGACGAGTGACTCAGCCAGCTCACAGCACTGGAGGTCTTTGTGCTGTCTTTGACCACCGTGACTCATTTGTCTCTGACTGGAAACTTATAATTTGATTTTCAAGATATCGAACAGCATCCAACAACGGCCTCTGAGGAGAAGCGGGCTCCACCCGCTGCTATTTCTGATCTGCATCGCTATCAGCGAGCATCTACCCTTCATACGTTGTTTTCATGTGAAAGCAAGAACTTCTGCAAAAATAAGGTTTTCTGCTAATATCTGAATTTGTTTTCACAACTGTATCAGGAGCACAGACTGACTCCAGAACCCTGAGATCACACACACAGAAATCCTCGAGTCTGAACCTCTTTGTCAGCAGCTCTGATCTCAACATCATGGAGTCATTCAGAAATCTCATTAAGAGGCAGAAGCAACTAAAACCACCTGAATTCAAAGAGTCTTTAAAGTTAAAAATATGCTTCATGTTAAGAAGACATAAAAGATCAAAGTGAAGCGTATGACAACATCATCCCTACTGATGTGTTACCAGTCCAGTGTTTGAGCTAAATTCCACACAGCCGTGTGATAATCGTCCAGGTTCTACTTACTGTTATCCAGAGTGATTAGAAATATCCTCTGGATCATGTGATTGACATTGAGCTGTTCACAGAGCTCCTGTCGGGACCGGAACGAGCGGCTAATCTCTGCCACAGAGTCATCGTTGTCATCGACACTGTCTGACACAGAGTTTTCGGACTCTGACTGGCTCTCTCCTGAGTCCTCCGCTGAGAGAAAAGGTGCATTTAGAGCAGATGTTACTACAGGAAAAAGGCAGATGTGTATTTGCTACAAACATTCTGTCCAAGCATATTTGTGTAAAATAGAACCTTTCTGCATTTGAGGTGACATTAAGTAAGATGGCTGAGCTTTATTATGTCAGCAACTCTTTAAACTGCAACAACAAATAAAAAACTAAAGAAAGAAAGAAAGAAAGAAAGAAAACAAATGCCCACGAAACCAAACCTTCCACTCTAAAAATGAAGCAATTTGGTGAAAGCTGCTCTAATGAAAGAATAAAAAAATATATTCTAAAATAATTTTTTAATGAAAATATAATCACAGATATGCAGTTTCATTTCTGCAGATAGATCAATCTGCAGTATAAATACCACACTGTATATTGAGACTTTCACTGATTGTTAAATAAACGGTTTGCCTGCATCCACGACAAGCATGCACTCCAACAACATGAAATCACAGCTAAGCTGCAAAAGACCTGCTGGAAAGGTTAATATACATAAAACGGGTAGCTAAACGCCTCTACTGCACACGTCTTAATGGACTAATTATCAAAAGAAAATCTGATCTGCAGCTGCATAAAATGTAATACGTGAAGTAGCCAAATTAGGTTATGGAACAATGATAGCTGCTATTCTCCTCTCACTTAGCCCCTAAAAGGTTTACACACCCCAATTGTAACACTAGAGCCAATTAACATCTTGTCTTTTCTACAAAGGATGTTCGTTCTGTGGCGCTAAATCTATATTAAGACAACGGTTACTCAGTAATAATGCAAGATTCAAACTCTCACTCACATGGTGGTTGAGCAGACTGTTGCGGTGCTTTCTGGCCAGATGCAAACTGTTTGGCATCAGCCAGTGAGCTGAAAAGGGCAGCAAAGGGATTGCAGGAGATGTTGTGGTTGTTGTTGCCCTGGTCAGTCATCTCACTGGGGCTCAACACTCACTCCATCCAAGATTCCAGCCTCAAGAAACAATGCACACAGTTAATAATGCACAAAGGAAATAGCCCACAAAGAAGTAAGCAAAGATGAACAGAACGCTATTCCAGAACGCTAGAAGACACTATATCAAATACAGGCCATTTGCCATTTAATCTGGGAATTTCCTTGTTTCCCTACCTGCTGAAAATGTTAATGTTTCTAAATTAAAATATACTAGCAAAAATTATATGAGAACTATTTTGACATGTTGCTCTATGGACAATTTATGCTGTTTTATGAACAATTTAGGCTATGGACATATCACAGAAAATCCATTCCGGGCCCAACAAGTTCAAACTCCAAAAGACTCACTCAGCTCTGCTGTCACAAAATATCATTCATCCCTGTCAGCAGATCAACAGCCCAGTGAACTTTGCATTTTTACAAACCAACAATAAATATGTAAATTATGTGCAGATTCTACACACTCAGGTACACACTAATGACTGAAACACTACTGCTTTTACTTTATTTGATGTTGGTAGTTTATTATTTTTAATATTCTCGTTACTGTTCATAATTTATAATCAATCTGGATTTCTAGTACTAGTACTTCCATCAGTGTATTCAGCACGTTTTGTAGTTTTTATAGTTTAACTCAGTCTTTATAAAATACAATATTTTCAGATGCGGTCATAATGTGTTTGTATGAAATCCAAAGTAAAACATCCGTTAACTGCTAGGTTAACCAGCAGTTAGCACCCTTCAGCGATTAGTTAAACTACTTCATCGAGTTTCAACAACTCAACGTTGTGTTATTTTAAAGCTGCCATACTACTAACTTACACTTTATTAGCAGAATCAGGTTAACTTGACACTTGACGAACTGGCTAGCAGGGTTAGCTTGTTAGCTCAACGTGATGCAACAAGCTAAGCTCTCATAAGGTCACAACGGACCATTTTCAACGTTTATTTAGAAAACCAGCACACGTGTTTATGTGCTTCCAGTATACACGATGTATAAAATACAGTAAAGAACGCTGTCGTACCTGTTTAACGATCAGAAATTAGTGTTTTTGATCTGGAAGATAGCCTCTACGTAGCCTGAAGCATTTCCTCAGTAAACAGAAGCTGGACGTCATCAATGTGAGACGACTGCTATTTGTTTCTGTAAATGAACATTTCGCCAAGCGAACCTGTAAAGCCGTCTTTCATTACAAAGCATTAAAGGTTTAAGTCATATAGAATTTTACATTACAATTTTATAATTTTACCTGCTTGGACGGGTTGTAGCCTGTAGTGTTTGATAACTACCAGCAAGGGGCAGCAATACTCTGTGTCGTCATTCTCGAGGACATGATAGTTATGGACATGATAGTTTGGCATGCTGTTTCATAGTTTTTATTATATATTTCTTTTTGATAGCTGCTTTAGTGGGAACGGTGGGAACCATGGTGGGAACCTTAAGGTTGGGTAAGAGAGTATCTCAATAATTTGGGTCTTTTTCAACAATAATTTGCTCAGTACTGAGCCTCTTTTTTCACATTAAGACATAATGAAAACATACAAAATAAAAAAAATAAAAACTGAAATCATTTTCTTTTTTTAATGTTTTATGACCAGAAAGTGATCAAGTGAGTAAAAAAATAAAAAAAAGAAAACATGAATACAGACTATGTACACATGCTACATACTGACATGTTACCAAATTATCCTTCAGATAATTTTTACTTTAACTGGAAAAACAGACAAAATTATAACATATAAATTGCTGTACATGAGAAAATTTGAAAATATTAATTTCTGAGCAGAAGTAACAATAAAAATGTGCTTTTCCATCAAACTTGGAAAATTTGAACATATAGCCTGAATTTAAGTGTTTGATCGTTAATTTCCTGACATAGATGTTGAGTTTGTAGGCTTAAATAATCTAAACAAATTGTTAATATAACAAAAATTAGGTACAAAATTTACAATCTGTTTGCTGTTTTATGAAAATGCTGGTGTTGCATGTTGTCACAGTTTAGATTTAATGGAGGCTCAGCCTCTCGTTGAAATGTGTGTCAGTAGTTGTTCGTAAAGCAAGTCTTTGTTCTGTAGCGCCACACCTCAAGAATTGGAGGATGCTCCACTTGTGACTTCCTTTGACCTGTTATTTTTTATTTTTACTTCATGTATCCTCTATTGAGTGGAGAGCTGTCATACTTTATTTGCCAAACTGTGTCCCCTTTCCAAGTCTTAGCCAGTCCTTCCAAGGGGACTGAACTTTGTCCTGATTAGTGTCCGAGCTGCAGAAGGAAGAAGAGGACTGGTGCGACCAGCTGGAGATAATTTTGCTGGGTCTGCGGAAGAAGGACAGGCCATTTGAGGCAGGCTTCAGCTGGGGCTTTTCTGACTGCTGCTGTGACTTGAGCTGCTGGTTGATGACGATCTGGATGTCGTCCTGAAGAAAAGATGAGAAAAGGGTGAACAGGAAGTCTGGTTTCTAATGTCTTAAACACAAATATGGTCAAATAAATAAAATAAAATAAAGGCCAACGATGCAACCTACATGTATTTGTTTTATGTCTCTAGTTTTCTTATATACTGAGAATTAATGTCTAAGAACGAATTTGACTTTTTTTTAGACAGAAGATTCATATTTCAGGTCACTATTTTTAAAACACTCCTCAAGTTCCAGCAAGCTTTTGCAAACAAAGCAAAGCCGAACAGAGTTTGGGTTTGATATTTCATCTTAATAACATCAGTGTAACTAATATTCATGTGCAGATTTTTTAAAAGTCCTTTCCAGAACCTATTTTTTGATTGTCTCCATGAGCTAGTATCTGCAGAAAATGAACCAGTGTTTTGATCTAAACATTTTCTGCATCGTCCTCAAAGCTTGAGATCAGACTGGCAGATGGCTCCGCTTGGCAGCAGAGGACACCTGCTGCTCAAATCCTTTAAAACTGTTATTACTGACAAAGAAATGGCTGCATCTGCTCCTCATATCTAAGTTAGAACATCTTTGGTTCCATCAAAACATTAGAAATCTCCAAATGACATGGCAGGAAGTGTTATTTTTATCTTTATTTCTACAAAAAATAATCTATAATGCAGGAATTTTATAGAGCAGAGGATGGTGAAACAGATTTTAAGAGATGAAGAAGCTGCTGACCCACCTGCCAGGCCTCCAGCTCCTGTGACAGCTCCAGTTTACGATGGATAGCATCTAATAACTGGTTGTTTAAACTCATCATGTCATGTTTGCTCCTCAACAGCTCGTCTTCCATCAGGTTCTTCCTACACAAACAAATTAATTTAAGACATTTAAGACATGAATTCATATTGGAGTTTTTTTTTCATCACTTTTTAAAATGAAATCAAGAATACGAGTTAGCTACTTGGCAATAGCTTCGTCCCGGTCTCTAATGGCTTGTTGAACAAAATCCGTCTGATCTTGTATGTTCTGCAGCTTCTGCAACAGTTCAGCATTCTCCTCCTGCAGCTGGATGTTCTGCAGAAGGATTCAGAATAAATTAATTAACTTCCATGATACAGCACCAACCTATTTAATTGCTTATTTAAAGATGCAATATGTAAGAATGACATCATGTGGTCAAATTTGGGTACTGCAGCCCATTTTCTAAACAAGAAGTTACTATCTCACTCCAGTTCTATGAGTTTCATGGCTGTTGCCTGTTACTTGTCAGCGCCAGAAGATTCTAGATGACAAGCAAAGACGGGCCACAATATGTTGATAAGTAGATAAATGCATTATCATATCTGGTGTTAGCTCTCTTAGGCTTTTTACGGTAAGGAGCTAGGGATTGTACGAACTAGTCGACTAGTCGACTTCACTGCTCTGTAGTGACTTTTTATGCCTGTCATCGACTAGTCGCTGTCACGTGATAATGAGCGATACAGCAGGTGACGAGCTCCTGCACGTCGGGAGGCGGAGGCGACGCGCTGTGCCAGAGCGTCAGTACTGACACCCACGGTAAAACGGACATTTAACCAAATTGTGACGTTTACCCTCTTGCAATTTAACCTTCCCCTCACCCCCATCCTAACTTTAACCAGCTTGCACATGCAAAGCATGATGATTCTCTGATTGTTGACGCGTTCCAGACATCTGCGTCCTGAGCACGGCCACAGTAACATTATCAAATTAGGTGTCGCCACCTCAAAAACAAATTTAACACGCAATAGTTCATGTCGGCTTATTTCCTTTAATGTTTTCTGTCTTTTATTTGTGCCTGATGCGTTTCGCTGCTGTGGAGCGGGGCGTATCACTTGTTTTGTCCTCCGGTGACGCACCTAACTGATGTGGCCGGCGAGCAGCGAGCAGTCCGCTGTTTTTGCGGTCAATAGATCTTTTAGAACTGCAGTTCAAAGGTAACTCATAAGGTGAATATATCTGAACCCAGGTAGCAGTTTTTCTTTAGGATTGAGAGGAGATGCAGGAAGATAATAAACAAGACAGGACAGAAAAATAGTCAAATAAAAACTAGTAAGTTTTTGTACCTGGTGGTTGCAACAAACAGACACCATTGAAGGTAATCAGAAGTAAGGAACAGAAAATGAAATAATTATTTTAATGTTTAGAGCAGCAGGAACTCCGAGAGGCTGCAGGCGCATCAGTGAGTTTATGGCCACTGCGCAGGGGGAGGGGGGAGAGGGCTGAATCAGAGCAGTATAAATGCAGAAAAAACCGTTGTTAAAAGAGATGTGTTTAACTTTGAAAATGTGGGCGCAATGTTAATTGTCAAAAACTCCAGCCAACCAACCGACCGACAACCCCCCCCACCCACCCACCCACCCCCGCTTCAGGTGTATGACGTCATCGACGACTAGTCAAAATCGACTCGATTTTCATTGCTTGACTGTCGACTGTAAAAAAAATTAAGTCATGCAGCCCCTATAAGGAGCTGTTATTAAAATTATTACAGTAGTATGCCTCCAGCATTAGAAGAGTGTGGTTGTTTGCCAGTTGTTTGCTGTCTTACTGTTAGCATGCTGTTACAGTTCTGAATGACTCATTAAGAAAGTAAAACTCCTCAATTGACTCATTATTCACTTCACACACAGATTTCACTGTAATATAGAGTAATTGGTGATCGGAAAAGTAGCTTGAGATATTTCTAGAGCTTCTAATAAGTGCTTAATTTGTAAATCAAACGTTCCCGGAACGCAAATACTGATGTCAAACCAAAGTTCACTAAAGACAAAGCAGATGCTCCCTTTAGATCACCTGTAATTCGTACCCTGCGTATATAGCACAAGCTGGGAGCGTGAGTTGCCGGAACCTTGCAGACAGATGTGAACGGTCTTTTTAAAATAAGACAGTTCCCAGATCTTGTTCCGGCAAGATCTGGCTCAAATTAACCCCTGCTTCTTTAAACTCTAGCCTTCTTTACCCGATATTGGAGTGAAACAAAAGGATGCCGTGGCTTATAAGCCGGGCGTACACTGTACGACTTTTTCACTTTTTTGAGCCGATTTTCCACTCGTGCGAGAATCCACAAGATCGGGGCGAGTTTTGCGCTGAGCGTCGTGTAGTGTACAGGGGGTTATGAGAGGCGAATAACACCACGTGACCAGCTACCGATCAGCAACCGTGAGCTCGCACAGACTTCTGGAGTGTTTGATATTTTGCTCGTTCCTCGTGAGGGTTGAAGCGGCGCAGCGAGCGGCTGCGACCCAAAATGTACCAGCACCGCTCACGGCGCATGCGCAATCATGCATCAGCACTGCTCACCCGCTATTTCCCTAATAACTCACGTTGTTCGTTTTTATTTCTAAACATTTTTTTTACACACAGTGACAAGGATTGTCAAGAAAGCGTGTTTGTCGTGTTCATGTCAAATTAAAGTGATCACAAAACACAGATTTACTTTCTTTATTTCGTTTTCCTCATCCAAACCCCATAAATCCCTGTGTGTCCTCCTGCAGCACTCCCGAAGGACAACAGGCAAAACAAGACAAAAACGTCTGACGTGTTGTGTAAAAACTGCTATTTTTAGCATATTTTGTAGGTCTGATGTGTTGCTACCAGACGTAAAGTGTGAGGAGTCAGGTCGCATCCGAGAACTGGGTCGTGCAGTGTGAGCACATGACTCGTGAGGTCTGCCCTGCGAGGAAGTCGTACAGTTTGAGCTGAAGCTGAGTGCTACGAGTGGAAAAGTCGCACAGTGTACGCCCAGCTTAAGAAATCACTTCTGGGTCACTCTTGTTTACTGGCTTGGCTTTTTGCCTGTGGCTGTCAAATTACAAATGCCGGTGCTGCAGCGTTATCTCGGCACAGACTCGGCAAACTCGTATGCTTACAGATTGTAAACAAAGACTACGTCCACCTTTGTTCTTTTTTAAATGGAAGAAAACTAACAACCCCCCTCTGGCTGAGAAGGAAATCTTTTTCAATGTATCCTTCCTTCCAACATGATTGGTACATTAGACTGTTTTGTGATTATTTCATTATAAAATCCTTACATATTGCTCCTTTAACTTATAGATATACAGCAAGTTGTAAAACAAGCTTTTTCAAACATTTCTCCTGTTTCGAAATGCAACAAGTCACAGCAGCTGCAGCCTAGCTCTGATTTAATGACCCACTAAAGGCACTGTCCTTTGACAGACATGTTTGTTCATCACTGGGTTACCTGATCTCTCAGCTCCTGTGCGGCACTCAGATTCCCACAGTGATCGCTCGTCCCGTCGACAAAACCCAGATTCAACTCCTGGGACAGAGACATTCGCAAAGAGATCAGGTGTCGGCCGCACATGTGCAAAGGCAACAGTTTAAACAAAAATCTGCTATTCGTCTTCATGCATGGCACTCTGACGGTGGAAGAGGTGGGACTCGGTATTTAGTTACACAGATGAATGAATGTTCCTGCTCAGAATGGAATGCAGATTCCAGGAAAAACAACTGGACGACTGTGTTTGACCGTTAAAGGCAGGAATGGGATAGCAGTTCAGGTAAATCCAAACCGGGATTTAAGAGATGATTTGAGATTTTTTTAATCTCTGCTGCTTCCACGTCTAACAAGAAAGACTAAAACATTGCTTACTCTCCTTTAAGAATAGCTGACTCACTTTTGTTATCCACAGTCATTGCTGTTTCATAAAGTTGAAAGAGAGTAAAAATACACACACCTGTCTTTCAGGTCAAGCATGATTACATAAAACCTGCAGCGTCTGAGCAAACATCCGTGTAGTCACAGATTTGAAAACCAGAGTGAAACTTTTCTTTCTTTGTAATTTAAAAATAAACAAAGCTGCCTTTTGTTTCCACTTCCCGTGCCCCTCACCTGTGGACTGGATTCTCCTGCCAGATTCCGGGCCACTCCCTTCAGTCGGTGCAGCACGGCCTGCAGATCTTCCTGCTCATCCATGACCTCTGACTTCTCTGGGCTGTTCGGATCTCGAGTAAGAGGGAGGAGCAACCCCAGGATGGAACCCACTTCTTGTGTTATCTAAGTAAAGAAACGGAAACTTCACTTTATAATAAAGATTCAACTATTAAATCTTTTCTAGCAACAACAAAAAAAGCAAAACTAGTTTGTTGCTTTCATCGTTTTTGTTCAATAATTTCCAATTCCATAACAAAGATGCATAAAAACACTATATTCTCCTACTACTGTCACAGATGGTCTTCTGATTAACAGCAGGACTTGAGTGACATCACTATTATTGACTCAATGGGAGGTGACAGCATTACCTCATGACATTCATCTCATCTGACTCAACTAGTCCCACATGACTGTGCTGATTTGTAGATAAAGACAGCTGAATTAGCTCAATTTTCAGATTACAGATTAGTTGAAAGTTAGTCCTCTTGGGTGACTTACACACGCTGCTGCCGTCCTTTTAATGTTATGAAAACACCAAAACATCCTTTATGTTTCAGCCAAGACGAACAGGAAACACATCTCGTGTGTTCCATGTCCCACTTTCCTGTTGCTGAACACACACAGAGTGAGAGGACGTCCTCTCTCTCAGACATAATCACATCTGATCTCACATTTCTGAAGCTCCAATATTCACAATATTTGCCACCTTTTTTCTGGCGTCAAACACAAGTCACACTGTTGCCAGAGCTTGCACGAACTGTTCTGTCACCGTGTTCTTCTCTGCAGACAACATGGGAGTTTTGTTCTGGCGACATATACCCGACTTATGTCATTTTTTTCTAAATTCACCTTAAAACTGCACGTTTTTATTAAAAATGTGCCCAAACGATGCAGCACTGCAGACGGGACATCAAAAAGACTAACACTGTCTAACTTTAGAGCTCAAATCTAGTGAATGTATCTACACAGAATTATTTTATTGTCTTATTTTGGTGCAAACTCCTTCCTCTGAACCCTGATAAGAATGAGTTTGTTGTTCACCATCCCCATCATCAGGACTCTATCTGTCTCTTTATGAGGAATTCAGCTTGTTTTTGCAGACTCTGTGACATGCTGCGTAAAGGGGTTATTTACTGAGTCACTTAATGAAATTACAGGAGCAGCAATTAGATTCTTACCTTAACCCTCTCAGGCTCAAAATAAGTTTTGATAAAAGGACGAACAACTAACGCCGGGGACACACCGGCCGCGGAAGCGGTGCGAAGCGAATCGCTCACGAAATTCGGCCGCTGCTCGCCACTCCTCAGTTCAGATCAGACGCGCCCCAGTCGAGGCGTGCCTCGGCTCAGCTGTAGTTTTTCTTTTAACCACTTGGTGTCCTCCATTTCCTCTCTGCCTTTTCTCAGCTCTTTTCCTCTGTGTGTGTGTGTGTGTGTGCGTGCGTGCGTGCGTGCGTGCGTGCGTGTGTGTGTGTGTGTGTGAACCTATGGTATGAACCAGTTGTTTCTGCCAGTTAAATCTCTTGGAACCCGCTCCAATTCTGCAGCTGTATCCTAGAAGCTTATTCCGAAATGGGTATGTAAATAACCAGGTTTTTCGGGGGTCGTACAGCTCCTTGTGTTTCTCAACTTCCATAATTAATTTAAAGTCATCCATTTTAACTGCTTGCCTCAGACTTTCTGCCTCTCTGTCCTGTTTGCTCCGGAAAAAAAGACACCCAAAACCACACCCCCTTCACGTGGTCACACACGTTCGATATGTGTGTATGTGTGTTCGTGTGGTTTTTCTGCAGTGTGTGATTACGAACACATTTGACTATTGTGGAATTTTATTTTGAAATGCTTTATTTTGTTAAATTTACCAGCCTGCCTCTTATGTCTAGGTTTGACTTCCTGCCAGAATTGACACGATTCACCCACGGCTCGCGAAAAAATAGAGCAGACGCCGAAACGATCGCTGCACAGCGCGGGCTGGAGCGCCGGCACAAGGCGATTCGCGGCGCTTCGGCGGCCCATGTGGTCTATAGAATAGCTAAGTCCTTCAGGGGTACTTCTGAGTTACAAAATGCTCATGAAATACGGATGTGGAGTAACCTGATAGGTAGGTTTTAACGTTGCAAATCTGCAATGCCTGCCTACAGAGGGTTAAATTAGGCTTCTGATGAACCACCATTCTTTCAGCAACTCTAGTTAAACACAACCTAGGTGATTTTTTTTTTTTAGATTTAAAGACAAACTGAACAGGCTGCAACACAGTTTTACTTCACTTGAGTTCGGCAGTAAAACATCTGGACAGCCTGCATTTTAAAATGTTTAACCCTCCCACTGTCTTTATGGGTGGCCCTGCGAGGAAAGTTGACCATTGAGCAGGATTGATGGTTTATCCCTTGAGGTCCATGTGGCAGGGGTGAGGTGGTGCTCACTCTTGCCACGTGGACCTCAAGGGATAAACCATCAATCCTGCTCAATGGTCAACTTTCCTCGCGGGGTCACACCCATTAGGACAGTGGGAGGGTTGAACAAATGTCACTAGATTATTGTACTCTGTGAATGGTAAGTTGTATTTTAAAAATAAGTAAAAGTGTCACTTTTTGTTTTTTCCCAAATCCAATGATTTCCTGTAAAGTTACCTTTTCTGGGATTCAGAATTTTCTCTAAAAATTCTCAATCATGAAAGTCAAAAGAAAACACTCATAAAGGGGCGTTCAGAAGCTGCTGCTGCAGGTGAAAACAACAGAAATAAATCTTGATTTTTTTTATTTTAAAGTATATGAAACTTGTTTTAGCAACAAGTGTGACTCTTTAAAACATGCATTTCATATTTTTCCACACGTTTCTCATTTAAATCCACCAAACTCAGGTTAACCAAATATTTCAAAAATTTCTAGGAAAAATCATTATGGCCAACAAAAACATTTCAAGTGAATATTTCTGTTCTTATGTATTTTTTAATTTAAACGCTTATTTAAAATGTGTGTTCTGATGGTTGTAAACAGTCGGTCTACCTCCGCCCTGCTGACTCCCAGCTCTGCTGTCTCCAGCTCAGTGAGCAGGGAGGAGTCCAGGTGGCTCCTGGACTCCTGCAGAGAGACCTTCTCCTGCAGCTCCTCCACCTGAGCCTGCAGCTGCTGTGAGCGACCCTGTGCCAACTCCACCTCCTTCAATGCCTCATCTAGCTATAAAAAGAAAAACAACAGAGGAATTCATACATTTATAATCACAAATGTCTAAAGATAAGATAAACAGGTGTAACTGAATGAAATGACTGTTTACCCCTCTCCTCTGACACAGAACTAGTCTGCATGAGATATGGCCTCAAGGTCTCATGCATTTGCTTATAAACTGCTTCTTTTCAGCTCAACAGAAGAATGAACAATGGACTCTCTGCTTTTAATAAATCAAAGAACTCTATTTTAATAAAGCTAATCAAGCAAAGTGTTAGTCAATCAATAAGATGTGACCAATCTGTGAATTCAAAATATTAATTACTTATTATAATCCTATAGAATATAACAGTTAATATGACTTTAAATGTTTCCACTAGGACTGATCTCACGTAGCGTTAAAAGACATGACACATTGCTTTCACTGATCCAATCAGAATCTGCCAGATCTGACGGAGGCATGGTTTTGGTGGTGTTTGGTAAATCTGTCAACTTTTCGTTCGACCATAAACCAAAACATCCGAAGTATAAAACTATGCCCACGTCATCTTTAACGCCAGTTCAAAGCATTCTAGAGAAGTTGTCGGAGTGGCCAATCCGTAACTTTCCTCTTCAGCCAAAAGAAACAACGACAAGCTGGATAAAATCTGTTGCTGTTCCAACTGCTGCAACAGTTCCTTTCAGAATAAAAGCTGAACCATCAAGACCCAGGTTTGGGTCTCGCTAGACGGAAACAAAATTGTCGTGACCCGGAAATATCTCAAAGATTGGTCTGGTCGGCAACCGCTGCTTTTCCTACCGGCTTCGGTTCCAGAGAAGGTCAAGCTGGACCTCGACATTCCTGATCTAACAGGGACTTCCGCTAAGGGTATGTAGGCCGACAAATGGCGTAGAATGTGTTTATGAATCTCCTAATCAAAGCTTAGCGCGAATATATCACCTTCAGTTCAGGTGATGTCTTCGCGCTAAGCAGATTCTGATTGGATCAGTGAAAGCAATGTGTCATGTCTTTTAACGCTACGTGAGATCAGTCCTAGTGGAAACATTTAAAGTCATATTACTTGTTATATTCTATAGGATTATAATAAGTAATTAATATTTTGATTTCACAGATTGGTAACATCTTATTTATTGACTAACACTTTGCTTGATTAGCTTTATTAAAATAGAGTTCTTTGACTTATTAAAAGCAGAGAGTCCATTGTTCATTCTTCTGAGCTGAAAAGAAGCAGTTTATAAGCAAACGAGTGAGAACTTGAGGCCATATCTCATGCAGACTAGTCCTGTGTCAGAGGAGAGGGGGAAACAGTCATTTCATTCTGCTACACAGGAAATCTAGTTTATTCTGTTAGTGTGATTAAAAGGTGGCTCATGTGAAACCTCTGCAAACATTCAGCAGAAGAGAAATCCTGACGAACCAGATTCCAGCGTGACATGCAACTGAACACCAGAGGAATCCAGACTTGTGGGTTAAAAAGCAGGGATGAGGTGATTGTTTAGTTATTCTTTCAACAATCGAAACCTCAGCTTCCAGGCAGAGAGTGGAAAATTCCCTCGATGCTCACACAGTCACGTTTAAAGGGACTCTAAGGAAGTTTGAAGTTTTAATGCTCGCAATCGCCACTCAGGCCTCACGTGTAACTGCAGCTTCAAAAGTAAGCTTGTGCATGAGGTGCGCATGCTGTACGTGCACGCTCCTTAGCGAAAATAACAGCTAAGACAGTCCTGTGTGTGTGTGTGTGGGGGGGGGGGGGGGGGGGAGGACAGAAGAACACAGCAAATTAATAAAAATAATGTGCCTCTGTCTCTGCAGCTGCACTTTCTTGTTGGCCGGCCGAATGTGCTGAAACAATGTCAATTTGCAGGAAATATCTAGAAGAAAGTTCTACAGAAAGTAGCTAAGGGTCCTCAGAAATGTAGCTAGGTTTGTCACTAGGTGTTAGGAACAGAGATAAAGTCGCTGAGTTGCCGCTGCCTCGCTCTCTGCTGCTAAATCTACTGATAGCAAATGCTATGGACTATGCCTGAGCGTGAACGTGCATGAAGGAGCCTGCTCGACCCGAGCAGCTCTCTTTTTCTGTGATTTTACAGAAAAACAGGCAATCACAGTAAAAATGCCAGGGCTCATTCTACAGGACCAGGGCATTGCAGGAGAATGTATGAAGAAGAAATTTATTATTTCTATACATGTTTTGACTGTCAAACTTCCTTACAGTCCCTTTAACGTGTTTTTACTAACATTGCTCACATTTACTGACTTTGATTTGGTGTACCTGTGTGTATCGTGTGTGCTTACCTGCTGGCTGTGCTGCTGTTTGAGTTGGTCGTGCAGATCTAAACGTGCCTGTAAAGAGGCCAAAGTCGCCCCGAGCTGGGCATTTTCCTGACACACACTCTCTAAATGTTTCTCCAGTGTCTGTTCCTTTTGGGTGAGTCGCAACACCTGGAGATCAAACACAGACCTTAGTGACTATTCAAAATCCATGCATGAAAAAGTGAATCAGACGTATTGAGGAGTAACTTCGTGTCCTCCTGTTTTCCAGTTATGTACAAAAATATTACCCATAAGCCTTTGCTGCTTTACTTCTGCAATAATGGATTTATTTGAAACCTTTTTTATTTGTAATCTGACTCATCTGGTTGGACAAAAACAGCAAAGAGGAAGGTGCTCGTTCTTTGTTTGCGCTGATATGCAAATGTGTTTCATCGTGATTGCATCAAGTCCAGGAGCGTATCAGTCACGAATGGGACCTCTCAGAAATGATATCTACTGAAGGCGAAGGTAAATAAAACAAAGAATAGGACTCGTTTAATGCTGATGCTCTCCAGTATTTTTCAGATTTAAAGCTTTAGCAAAGCAGTTAGCGTGTTAGATCTATTTCTAAATGTATTCGAATAGAAAATTCTTGAAGAAAATGTTCTATTTTGCTTTTTTCCAAATCATCACCTGCTGTTCAAAGGCAAAAGATGGGTTATCATGTTTATGTCTGTCAGTTTGACAGAAAATGTCTCAAGACCCACTAGATGGATGACTGACTAACATATAGAGTCTACATGGTTAAACCTCTTTAGCTAACACTATGGCCATCAAACAGCAATAGTTTCACCATCTCCTTTAAGCCCCATGAGATGTCTAAGCTGCAGATGTTCCACACCTGCTTATGTTTATGTTTATGTATTTATCAGACGCTTTTATCCAAAGTGACTTACAATTTAAAACCTATAGGGCATGTTGTGATCTGTGGGGGAAACCCGAGTACCCGGAGGAAACCCACGAATGCATGGGGAGAACACGCAACTCCACGCAGAAAGGCTGCAGCTGAGCCGAGGTTCGAACGTGCAACCTTCGTGCTGCGAGGCAACAGTGCTAACCACTGCGCCACCATGCAGCCCATGCTTAGACTCTATCAAAACCTGGATGGCTGGGAGCTTTCTACAGCTGAATGAATATGACTGGGATCCTCATCTGTGCCCCAGACAAGCTGGTTCCCAAAGTCAGAGACTCTCTTGGTCAGCTTTCTTCTCACACCAAATCACCTGTCAGGAATCTTAGTGTGACCTTTGACCCAGCTCTCACCCTGGATTCTCATGTCAGTTCTCTTGTTCGTTCTTGCTTCTTCCATCCCAAAAACATTGCTGAGTCCCATTCTGTCCCACACCTTCATCTCCTCACACCTATAGACTACTGCAACTCGCTTTTAACTTGTCTGCGCAAAACCTCCCTCAACCGTCTGCAGGTGGTTCAGAATGCCCGTGCCCAGCTTCTGACCAAATTTTTCTATTCTTCCCCATTTAAAAAAGAAATATTTTTACTTTGCTTAATTCTTTGCGTTGATTTTGTTGAAACATCAGCTCAAGAGATTTTTCCTTTAAAATATTTGTTGCATATCATTGTTGATTCATTATTTAGATTATCACACCAATGATAAGACCAAAAACAAACAAGCAGCTGATCAAACACATCATCTTTTAATTCCCTGAAAGGCAGCATAAATGGAGCAGTATGTCTCTGTAAGTGTGATTACATAACATTTTAACTTCAGCAGGATTACCAGTTAGAAAAAACCTAATCATGATGAAGTTTGACCTCTCCGGTAGTTACCTGCTCTCTCATGGCACTGATCAGCTCCTCGTCCTGCTGTCGATTTGGACTTCCTTTGTGTTGAAGCTCCTGTTTCAGAGCCTGCAGCTCACTGGACATGGCTCTCTCCATCTCTTTTGCCTTCAAGTGCACACAAGAGAGGAAAACAAAGAAAATGGGTTAAAAAGTGATTTAATTAAACAAAAACCTACAGAAAATTTACCAAAACACTCAAAGAAAAATGCAAAACCTACACAAAAAGTAAATATATAAGTTTTTGTTTGCTTCTGTCTGAGAGGCAAACTCATTCTAAAAGATTTAAAAATTAAACCAAAACTAAGTGATCATAGAAAAGCCACGGGTACCCCCTCCCCCACTCTGATCCAATGACCCAGTCCAGAACCCCTGATTACCCTCAGTGGTCTGGCAGGCCCCTGTCAGCTCCCATCACCACCCCATAATACCAGATGAAAGGCTGGCCTCTGCAGCAGATGGAGCTGAGAGCTTCTTGGTCCTGTTGGTGACATCTTCATGCCACTTTAGACATCCATGGAGCAGAGGCTAAAACAGTGCCCATCGTGAGGTTAAGTTTGCTAGCTTGGGTCTGAATGAGGCTACACAGGGAGTGAGGTGGGCCAGGGGACTGAAATAAGAGGAATGCATGTGTGATGAGAGTAAAGCGGACACCGATGGACAAAAACAAAACATTGCACGCAGACAAAGTGTGTAGAAGAACGAAGGGGCTAATTGTCATCATTACTGCTGCTTCTGTGAACAAACATGGGCCTCTTGTAGAACAGAGACCGCTTTGAGAATCAGCAAACCATGGAAGGAGGGCGCTTCTTTTATTAAAAAAAAACAAAGGCTGAACTGATATATTCTTCATTTAAGGGCCTCTACCAAGCTTTGAGCCATCATCAGAGCAAACATACAGAGTTATCTACGATCCAGATCCCCACAGGGAACATCCAGAGTAGTTGTCTCTCAACTGGGATGCATAGATGTCTGGATATGAGGAGCAACATCAAAGGGAGAATATTACAGATCTATATCTCTGCAATGCATCGTCTCTTCTGCTTTTGTCTGTGAGAGTGGTGATGCTGACAGAGAGCACAGAGGTCATGGAGCCTTGTCTGAATTGAAGCTTCTCCTTTTCTAATAATGGTAATCCACAGAGAGGGATTCATCACAGCTGTCCAATAATGCAGCACAAAACCACAGCCAGCAACCAGGACCAGAAAGCGCCAGAGGTGAAGAGGTCAAACATCGCTGAAACACTATAGACAAAATGAATAAAGTTATAGCAACATAAATTTGAATTTTCCTCCTTTAATCTTGTGCTAAACATTTTGTTTTTATGGAAACTACAAAAACTTTACACTGCACACAAAAAATTGGACTTGGAACATGTACACATGTAACCAAATATCCTTCCCGACACCATCTTGTTTTCAGGAATAAAAAAAAAATCTAGTGCAGGGGTAGGCAACCCTGGTCCTAGAGAGCTGCAGTCCTGCATGTTTGCCAGCCATGTCTAAATTTGCAGCTTCTAACTGGCTGAACACACCTGATCCAGGTAATCAACATCGTTGTTGTTCCTGATGTTGATTACCTGGATCAGGGTTAGGGTTAGGGTTAGATAGTTGGAAAACAAGCAGGACTGCAGCTCTCTTGGACCAGGGTTGCCTAGTCCTGATCTAGTGCATTGTAAAACACAATCAGGCATGCTAGGCCTGTAGGAGGCAGTAGTTCCCCAAATCAGCGACATCTTTTGGGATTGGGCCATCCTTCGCCAGTCAGAAATACTTTCTTCTTCTGTGGTCTTTCACATGCTGCAGTAACTGAGCTTGAAAAAACAAGTGAGTGTAAAAACAGTTTGCACGTGTGACATCAGTGACATTGCATAACCTAAAACCTCGGTTATTTACATTTACAACCAAATGCTGACAACGGAGAGTTCGCAAATCTTTGAAATAATTGCTTTAGGTGCCGTATATCTTCAATTTTGGGTGGAAGACAGACACATTTGTTTTGTCAGATACCCATCTATGTGTGTACTGGTTCTACGTTTATAGGATGCATCAATATAGTTAAAACCATCTAGAGTGAATCGAGAACCTTTTTACTCCAAGACACAAGCTAGCTTGTTTTTGTGCAACAACAGAGCTAACGATGGACATTTTCTTCCAAACCACTTGCAGAGGAGGTTTTCTGGGAAGCGTTGAAGTGATAAATGTTGTAGCGTTCCAGCAGAATAAGAGCATAAGCATGAGAAACAGCTTTCCGCTTCTGGTAGGTAACAAGATGGCGCCTGTGCTTGGCTTAGCCGCAGTCACCGGTCACTTTTTCAAACTTTTCTCCACTAACCTCCTCTTTTCCACCTTGCTCCTGTCTGCGATCCTCTTCAGTAGTGTCCCTGCTACCATCCCCTATGATCGCCAGACTCTTTTGTCCTTCCGTTCGTTCACGATTGCCCAAGATGCACCGAGGATTTACCTCCCTGTTTGTTTATCTGAGTGGCGCACTGGCCCGGAGCCAAATGACGATTCCAACCAGGGCATCACCAGCTATGTTTATTCGGTCCCGGGAAAACGTCGGAGGAAAAGAGGGAAACAAGCAGGAATCGAGGTGAGAATAAGACTTCTCTTGTTCTCTTCTCTTGTTTATCTAGTAAACATCGGCGTGATCTTCTAGCTTCTTGTCCTTTGTTTGGCGACTAAAGTGCCACTTCCGCATTCCCGCCAGGCCACGTTGCGGCGCGGTTTCTCCGTCCAAGTTTTTAAGGTTGGTTTATCCTCATTCTTCAGTGGCTTCTCCTCCTGTTCCCTCCATAAGTGGTTTTTATAAACACCGTGGATCTAACCCAGCTAATTTACGTCCACAATATCCAGCTGTTTCTGTAGTTTCTGAATGCTCCACCTCACTCAACATGGCTCTATTAAATACCCGCTCTGTTAACAAGTCCTTCCTGCTCAGTGATCTAATTCTCTCTAAAATCCTGGATTTTCTGTTCCTGACTGAAGTTTGCTGGCAAACATCTGATTATTCTGGTCTAATTGAACTCTGCCAGAGTGATTATTCTTTTCTTAGCCAGCCCCGGGGTTCTGGCCGTGGTGGAGGCCTAGCTGTTGTTTTCAGAGACCATCTTCCATGTAGCTCTACAACCGCTAGTCACTTTGCTTCCTTTGAACTGCAGCTTATTAAAGTCGAGCGTAAGGACCCGTTCTATTGTGCTGTGTCTATCGTCCACCTGGTCCAAACAGTTCTTTCCTTCAGGAGTTTAGTGACTTTCTATCCTCCACTGTGAAGCTGTCCAGACTGGTGATTGTTGGTGACTTTAACATCCACGTTGATGATCCCTCTGACCACTTTGCCATGAATTTCTCCAGCCTTATGGACTCCTTCAGCTTTACCCAGCATGTTTCTGGCCCCACACACACTGGGGGCACACTCTAGACCTTGTTTTTACCCTGAGTCTAAATGCTGACAGTGTTTGTCCTGAGGACGTTTATATTTCAGATCACCATTGCATTTTCTTTAACTTGTCAGTTTCTGCGTCCCCACCTCCTGCTCGCCGTATGGTTAGTTCTCGTTTTCTTAATGAGCGCACAACTAGAGTTTTTTCTGCTGCTTTTGATTCACTCTGTTCTTCTGATAACGACCCAGATTACTTAACTTCTCACCCCGGCTTTCCACAGGAGCCGTCAGCAGCACGTTACTGCAGCAGCACGTCATATCTGCTGATAGGAACTTCTGTGGTCAACAGAACCTTTTCCACTGGAGCCGTCAGCAGGCATCAGCAAAGCGAGTCGGCCTGCTCAGGAGCAGCATGTCGCGGCCTTTAGGCGCCGGTTCTATTTTCTACGCGCGACGCCTCTGAAGCGGGTCAATTTCGACATTTTTGGGGAAGGAAAGACAGGAAATCGTACGCAGAAATGGAGAGAAGCTCCCGAGATTTTCAGAATAAAGAAACGTACTGCCTTCCGGTTGCTTTACTTTTAAAAGAAGTTACTAACTGCGGCCCCGTGAGAAGTTATCACCTAGCTAGCGGTCTCCTTTGTTTTTCAGGTCCGTATTGGCGATTATAAAACGGACAGAACATAAAACACAAACCTTTTGGAGCCGACTTCGTGCTCGGTCGGTGACAGCTGCTCCCCTGCTGCTTCGTGTCTCGTGGGAAGGGCCAAGCAGCAGCTTACGCGAGCAAGACGTGCTGCTGCAGTAACGTGCTGCTGACGGCTCCTGTGGAAACCCGGGGTCAGTTTAACGAGCACTGCCTCTCAATCAAATCAAATCAAAGATACGAGAGCAGCCATGTACGGCGCTCAGTCACTGTAGCCACAGGTGGGAGGGAGATCTTGGGAGGAGCGCTGAGCACATTGACTCCTGCAGGTTGATGACCTCGCCAGGCTGAAGTCCACCAATCCGAAGGCGGGGCGGGGGGGGGGGGGGGGGGGTCGGGTTTTCACAGCATCTGTCTGCATGCCTTCGTGGGGGTTTGTTCATAGCATCTTGAATGCTGCTATGGCGTCAGATTCGGATAACAAGACTGTTTGGGTCAGGCTGAGATAATTATCCTCTCTACCTTCAGTCTTTAAACTGATCATTCAAGTCCTCCAGTGAAGCCAATTTGGTTTATAATCTTGTCCATACCGTCCGGTGACCCTCTCCGAGATGACATCCATTTTGCGCACTAATACCGGTATCGCAGCTAGAACATTGTCCAGCTTACGATTCGCCTCAAGTAGCGTCCCAGTCTGTGAGGTCTCCACACGGACAGTGCTTTCCGTGGGTGCGGGTCGCCCTCCAATCGCTCCCGCCTTCCCAAATTTCCAGAAAACCAGATATCCTCCCACTCCAATCAGAAGAAATCCAGAGATCATCAGGCCAAACATCCACACGTCTTCGACGTCCTCAATGGACAGCTGGGAGAGGCATACGATCTTCCACTCCTTCCAGGAATCGAGCATATACCCCACCGGGTGTGTCCCTTGCGGGCAAGTGGGAGCCCCCTGATCCGTTCTCATCGTTGAAAAAATCTTATCAATCGCATTGAATTACCAATTTATCAAATCCATTGTTAAAAAATAGGGGGTTTCAGAAGAAATGCAGAGACACGCTCTGAGGGCAGACAGGACAAA